TCTCTGAGCCCGATGCTTCTGCCAATTTTCTATCCACCTTACAGTCCATTCATCCAGCCCATATTTCCTTAGCTTGTCTGTGAGAATGTTGTGGGAGACCATATTGAAAGCCTTCCTAAATTCAAGGTATACCACATTTACTGGTTCCCCTGCATCCACAGAACCAGTCATCTCATCACAGAAGGCAATCAGGTTGGTCAAGCATGAATTGCCCCTGGTGAATCCTTGCTGACTGCTCCTACTCACATTATTCTCCACCAAGTGCTTAGAACTGTTTTTCTGGAGGTTATGCTCCATGATTTTTTTCCAGGGATTCAGGTTAGGCTGACCCATCTGTAGTTCTCTGGATCCTCTTTCTCCCCTTTCTTAAATATTGGCACTATGTTTGCCCTTTTCCTGTCATCTGGGACCTCTCCTGATCACCATGAATTTTCAAAGATGATGACCAGTGGCTTTGCAATCACATCAGCCAACTCCCTCAGCACACTTGGGTGCATCCCATCCAGCACACATCCAGCTTTCTAAATAGTCCCCTAACCTGTTCTTTCACCACTGTTGGTTTCTCATCTCCTCCCCAAAATGGGCTGCCATGTACAGTAGCCTGGGGTTGACCATGCCTGTGAAGACCGAGGTAAAAAGAAATTGAGTACTTCAGCATTTTCTGCATCTTCTGTCACTAGGTTGCATTCCCCATTCAGTAATAGACTCACACTTTCCATGATCTTCCTCTTGTTACTGACATATGAATAGAAACCCTTCTTGTTACCTTTCACATCCCTTGCTAGCTAAAACTGTAATTGTGCTTTGGGCTTCCCGACTTCATCCCTGCATGCCCAAGCGATACTGTTATACTCCTCCCTAGTTGTTTGTACAAGTTTCCACTTCTTATAAGCTTCCTTTTTGTGATTTAATTTACTGAAGATTTCTCTGCTAAGCCAAGCTGGTCTTCTGCCATACATACTAGTCTTCCTGCACATGGGGATGGTTTGTTCCTTCACTCTTATTAAGGTTTCTTTCAAGTACAGCCAACTCTCCTGGATCCTTCTCCCTCTCAGACTGGCCTTTCAGGGGATCCTGCCCATCGATAAAAGTCTGCGTTTTCTGAAGTCCAGGGTTCTTACTCTGCTGCTCTCCATCCTTCCTTTCCTCAGGATCCTGAACTCAGTCATCTCATGGTTGCTGCTGCCCAAGTTGGCATCTACGAGTACATTTCCAAACAATTCTTCCCTGCTTGTGAGCAAGAGGTCAAAAAGAGGATTGCCCATAATTGGCTTCTCCAGCACTTGCACCAGGAAGTTGTCCTTGTCCAAAAACTCGCTGGATTGCCTACATACTGCTGTATTGCAAACCCAGCAGATATCAGGGTGATTGAAGTCCCCCATGAGAACCAGGGTCTGTGAAAGGGAAACATCTGCTAGATGCTGGAAGAAAACCTCATCCATCACTTCCTCCTGGTCTGATGGTCTATATCAGTCCCCCAGCATGACATCACCCATGCTGTTCTCTCCTCTGACCTTAACTCGGAGACTTTCAACAGGCCTATCTCCAATTTCATAATGGAGCTCTGAGCAATAATATGGCTCTTTTACATACAATGCAACTCCTCCTCCTCCTCTTCTCCCCTGCCTGCCCTTCTTGAACAGTTTATACCCATGTATGACAGTGCTCCGATCATGTAATCTATCCCACCATGGCTCTGTTATTCTGATCACATCATAGTTCCATAACTGTGCAGGGACTTCCAGTTCTTCTTGCTTGTTTCCCAGGCTGTGCACACTATAAGCACCTAAGGTAACCAGTTGATTGCCGTGATTTCTCAGGAATAATGAGAACACCTCCTCTGTTGCTCCCTCCTACTTGCTCTTCCTTCAGGTCAGCCACCTCCCCACTTAGATCAGTCCTTTCATCTCCACCCCCTGGTGAACCTAATTTAAAGCCCCATGGTGAACCTAATTTAAAGCCGTTAGGTTAGCAAGCCCATCTGCAAATAAACTCTTCCCTCTCTTTCTGAGGTGGATCCTATCTCTTCCCAGAAATTCATCTTTTTGGAACATCATCCCATGGTCAAAGAGGGTTTATTCCTGCACTCTGAGTAAGGCTTGTATACTTCAAAGAAGAGTTACTGAGAGTGAAGCTTGGCTTAGCAGGTAACTCTTTAGTAAACTCAACCAGAAAAAGGAAGCTTATAAGAAGTGGAAACTTGGACAAATCACTAGGGAAGTTATGTCTCCCCTGACAGTATCTTTGGTGATACTCGGTGATAATCTTACTGCTTCTGTTGAAGCAATGCCACAATGAAACCAAAAATGCAAGTCATGGGGTAAGAAAAACATTTTCCAAGGGGGGACTGACTCTATGGCCTAGTAATTAGGACACTAAACTTTGAAAGGAGAGCTTCAGTATTGGTCTGTATGTGATCAGCTCTCCCTATGACCCTCTCTCTGCTGAGGGCTCTAAAGAAGAGAGGACAAAAGTGTCAGATCCTACGTTTTGTCCTCTCCTTTTCAGTCCAATCCATGAACCTTGTGTTCTGAGCTGCACATTGACACTATGGATTTTAATTCCTGAGACAATGGAAGTGTCTTCCTGCAGCCCTGGCTCAGGCATGTAGTCTCTTGAAAGGGCAGATTTTCAAACATACTAATAAGCTTGGACTTTCCCGCTCAGTAGTTCCAGGTGGCTTGCAGATCAGTGTTCAGGTTTTCTGGATTGTCCTGTTAACGTTCCTAGCTGTACCCATGCACTTTTTTTAGTTCCACGCAGCAAATTCTGACATCAGGGAATGGAAATCAGGACTCTCCTCTGTCAGGTTCTGCTCTGCCCAGTGCACTGCAGAGGTATTGGTTGTATTGTTGGTCCACAACTCTGTTTATGCATCTCACAGTAGGCAACTCCTTGGTTAAGAAAATAAGTAAACCTGGTAGTAAAGAACAGAACCCAGATCTCCTTCCATCCATCCTTGTGGAGTGCTCAAAACATTAAGACACAGATGAAATCTCTCCTGTGTGCTTTCCTCCTGGTCCCATGATTCTTGCATTGTTGGTTAACTAGTGGCCAGCTTCATCAAGAAGGGACAAGGGTAGTGTCCCCTGATACTGTTAAGTAGCTTTTTTGAGATGTGGGTCCAAATCCTTTCTAAGATGACACAGAAAAACAGATTTTCCCCTTTCCACTAACCACTAGAAGAATAAGGAAACATTGGCATCAGGAATTTCCCTTCAGAAAGCCCTGAGAATCTATCCTTTGAAGGGAAAGTAGGCATTGTGATTTGCTAGTAAACTGAGCTTCCTAATGAACACAATGATTTCTACCTATACAGGAGATTGTAGAATACCGTGAGCGATCCGGTCTAACCTAACCTAAAGGTGGAAACTGCAATCTGAGGCCATCCTCCCGCAACTCCTTCCCGCAATCCATAGTGGTATTTATGAATTAAGTAACCAGGCTGTCTCAGAGAAATGGCTAAATTTTGAGGGAGCATCTCTGTTAGGGAATATTTTGAGGACACGCTGTAAATATGACTTTTTTTTGTCCATAGTATTTTTTTCTATGTCTAGGTAGTAAGCGGTGCTCTCTCAGAGTATATGGATTTCAGTAAAGGCATGTGTCATCATGCTAAATTCACACTAGAGTAATGTTCATGCTCTCTACATGTGCAATTACACAAAGAAATGTGCAAGTAGGTTGTTGCAGGCTATACTGAGAAGCATTTAATACAGGACAAAACAGAGAGAAACAGAAACAACGGGAGGAAATTTATAAAGTAGAGCGATAATGAGCTCCCAAAATACTGATGGATCTTTACTGTGTATGAAATATATTCCTCTGTACATGTCCAACGCAGAGTGATTCTGTGGGGATCTTATAAGTTGCCTGCATGCTAAATTTGATAACATAATTGCTTTTGCTGTATGATAAGTATTTGCTTCTGTCTCCTGGTATAGATTATTATCGAGCTCATTGAAAATATTGTGTTTGTTATCTATGTGATATTGCATCTGATAATTTCTCAGTTACTATTGTAAATAATAAATGATTGCAAATAGTCATTTAGTGTGTTGTCTGGTGTGGGGAGAACCACAGGAAAGCACTCCACTGAGTGGTGGCTCCCAGCTTATAGATGAAGTGGGAGTTGACTGAGACCTATTGGTACCCCAGGATCCCAACAGTTTCGACGTGGCTGCGGGTAGCACCACCTCCAGGGTTACACTAGTTGGAGGGTTTACACTGGATTTAACTCGTGCACACACTTGAACTTTCAGATCTTAACAACAAGGTTGGGTCAGACCTCCATGAGAACTTCTGACTTAAGCCACAGGTCTTCCTACTTCCTCTGAAGCTGCTGCTGATGAGTAAAGCGGGGACTAGAGATGCCCGGTCCAAACTGGGTTTCTAATTTTCACCCTGATTATACAGGTGACATTTAGTGGTAGCACACAGGCCCTATAGCCCACAGAATAGGACTGATATATTCTGTAGTTTAGCCAAACACTTCCCCGACCTACGATACTACTAAAAACTACATTTAGGCTACAACTGAAATGTAAAAACACCTTTAAAGGTGAAAGGATGTTCAGTCTTCATACTATATTCGGTCCCCAACATCTCTGGAAAAGCCAATCCAGAGATAAAATACTTTCACTATGTTCTTCCATAAAGCCTTATAAGGCTGGCTGGAAATGACAATTTCCTTTATTTTTTCATTGTTCATTCATTTTAATTGTCCTTATCCATCACATACTTAGTCTAATCTTCAGGTCTACACAGAAACAATACTGACAGCATCTCCATCATCTGCACAGTTTTATACAGTGGAGAACAGCTTTTTTTTGCTTTTTTTTTTTGCAGATGTATCACAAATTAAACCTGATCCCTCCTTGAGTACCACTTCAAACCTCTTCCTTTGCATCAAATACCTGCCCTGGTTTCCCTGCCCAGTCTGCTGTGTGCCCCACACAGAGGCTACCTCTGGTTTTGTAGATGATCAGGAGTTTTGACAATCATTTTTCAAACATTTTTCTACACATCACTCTCCTCAGAGCATCCTTCACCTCTTTGTTCCTTAGGCTGTAGATCAAAGGGTTCAACATTGGGGTCACTACTGTGTAGAACATAGAGGCCATTTTGTCCTGTTCTTGTGAATTCTCTGTACGGGACTGTAAGTATGCGCAGGCCCCAGTTCCGTAGAATGCAATGACATCTGTCAGGTGAGAGGCACAGGTAGAAAATGTTTTTTTCCTGCCTTCAGCAGATCGCATCCGCAGGATGGTGGACAGGATGTAAGCATAGGAGCCCATGATTATCAGATTGGAGCCTACTATATGTAATATAGCAGTAAAAAGCAACACAACTTCATACCTGTGGGTGTTAGAGCAGGAGAGCTTAAGAAGAGAGGGTATTTCACAGAAAAAGTGATCAATAACATTGGTGTGGCAAAAAGATAAACTTCTTATCCAGGCACCATGCAGTATTGAATAGATAAAGGCTGTGACATGCAATGCGGTGGCCAGCTTGAGACATTGTTTGGAAGACATCACAACCGTGTAGAGCAAGGGGTTACAGATAGCTATGTAGCGGTCATAAGCCATCAGTGACAAGAAGAAGCATTCAGAGGAAGAGCAAACAGTAAAGATATACATCTGTATAAAGCATTCAGCAACAGAAATGTACTTACTTCCCCACAGTAAATTCTCCAATGCTTTGGGGATGATATTGGAAGAATGACAGATTTCTACACAAGATAGCTGACAGAGGAAGAAGTACATGGGGGTGTGAAGTCGGGGGTCAATACTGATTAAAACGATCATCCCAAGATTCCCCACCAGTGTGATGACATAGATTACCAGTAATACCCCAAAGATAGCATCTTGCATCTCTGGATGAGCCGAAAATCCCTGGAGGATGAACCCAGACACCATAGTGAAGTTTTCACCAGCCATTTTTCTGACTCTGTGTGGTAATGAAGTGGGATTTTAAAGTTAATCTTGGAGATATGTGGGGTCTAGAATGGATTGTCATGCACATTTAAAATCAGTTAAATATGTTGGTGAAAGCATCAACATTTAATTTATAATAGACAACATGGAATGCCTAAGAGCAGTGACTGATTTCGCAAGGAAGTATAAAAGCAAGCTGAGAGACAGGTGTTTTTGCTTCTTCTCTTTCAACCTAGAAATAAAAAATCCATTAAGATTAAGATCACAAAGGTGGAGATAAAACTGTATAAAACTGTGCAGATGATGGAGATGCTGTCAGTATTGTTTCTGTGTAGACCTGAAGATTAGACTAAGTATGTGATGGATAAGGACAATTAAAATGAATGAACAATGAAAAAATAAAGGAAATTGTCATTTCCAGCCAGCCTTATAAGGCTTTATGGAAGAACATAGTGAAAGTATTTTATCTCTGGATTGGCTTTTCCAGAGATGTTGGGGACCAAATATAGTATGAAGACTGAACATCCTTTCAACTTTAAAGGTGTTTTTACATTTCAGTTGTAGCCTAAATGTAGTTTTTAGTAGTATCGTAGGTCGGGGAAGTGTTTGGCTAAACTACAGAATATATCAGTCCTATTCTGTGGGCTATAGGGCCTGTGTGCTACCACTAAATGTCACCTGTATAATCAGGGTGAAAATTAGAAACCCAGTTTGGACCGGGCATCTCTAGTCCCCGCTTTACTCATCAGCAGCAGCTTCAGAGGAAGTAGGAAGACCTGTGGCTTAAGTCAGAAGTTCTCATGGAGGTCTGACCCAACCTTGTTGTTAAGATCTGAAAGTTCAAGTGTGTGCACGAGTTAAATCCAGTGTAAACCCTCCAACTAGTGTAACCCTGGAGGTGGTGCTACCCGCAGCCACGTCGAAACTGTTGGGATCCTGGGGTACCAATAGGTCTCAGTCAACTCCCACTTCATCTATAAGCTGGGAGCCACCACTCAGTGGAGTGCTTTCCTGTGGTTCTCCCCACACCAGACAACACACTAAATGACTATTTGCAATCATTTATTATTTACAATAGTAACTGAGAAATTATCAGATGCAATATCACATAGATAACAAACACAATATTTTCAATGAGCTCGATAATAATTTATACCAGGAGACAGAAGCAAATACTTATCATACAGCAAAAGCAATTATGTTATCAAATTTAGCATGCAGGCAACTTATAAGAGGTATATCCACCTAATCACCCAGATCCCCACAGAATCACTCTGCATTGGACATGTACAGAGGAATATATTTCATACACAGTAAAGATCCATCAGTATTTTGGGAGCTCATTATCGCTCTACTTTATAAATTTCCCCCCTTTGTTTCTGTTTCTCTCTGTTTTGTCCTGTATTAAATGCTTCTCAGTATAGCCTGCAACAACCTACTTGCACATTTCTTTGTGTAATTGCACATGTAGAGAGCATGAACATTACTCTAGTGTGAATTTAGCATGATGACACATGCCTTTACTGAAATCCATATACTCTGAGAGAGCACCGCTTACTACCTAGACATAGAAAAAAATACTATGGACAAAAAAAAGTCATATTTACAGCGTGTCCTCAAAATATTCCCTAACAGAGATGCTCCCTCAAAATTTAGCCATTTCTCTGAGACAGCCTGGTTACTTAATTCATAAATACCACTATGGATTGCGGGAAGGAGTTGCGGGAGGATGGCCTCAGATTGCAGTTTCCACCTTTAGGTTAGGTTAGACCGGATCGCTCACGGTATTCTACAATCTCCTGTATAGGTAGAAATCATTGTGTTCATTAGGAAGCTCAGTTTACTAGCAAATCACAATGCCTACTTTCCCTTCAAAGGATAGATTCTCAGGGCTTTCTGAAGGGAAATTCCTGATGCCAATGTTTCCTTATTCTTCTAGTGGTTAGTAGAAAGGGGAAAATCTGTTTTTCTGTGTCTTCTTAGAAAGGATTTGAACCCACATCTCAAAAAAGCTACTTAACAGCCAGGCTACAGAGTAGATCAGGGGACGCTACACTTGCCCCTTCTTGATAAAGCTGGCCACTAGTCAACCAGCAATGCAAGAATCATGGGACCAGGAGAAAAGAAATAAAGAAACAGTGGTGGAAACATTCCACCTGTTTCTCTCACAAGATATCTTGACTGTTAGCATAAGAGAAACAGAGAGGCAGAAAGAAGATTCGGGGAGTGAAATGACAGCCATCATGAAAGTAGAAAGGAGTAGAGAAATCTGGACAAAACAGACCTGAGCGCTTACATTGCCCTCTTACTGCTGAATGGTCTATACTGAGGTGGTCATGAGTCACTGGAGGAGTTGTGGGAGCAACGCACTGGGCATCCTTGCTTCCATGCCACCTTGAGCTTAAAACAACTCTGTCAAATCACGAACTACCTGAGATTTGACAACAAACTGACACATGAGGAAAGGAGAGCTGTGGACAAGCTTGCTGCCTGCAGAGATATCTGGACACAATTAATGGAGCAGCTCAGAAAATAGTATATTCTGGGAATACACCTGACAGTTGATGAACAGCTCATTGCTCTCAGGGGTTGCTGTCCCTTCAGACAGTCTATGCCCGGCAAGCCTGTCAAATATGTCTTGAAAATTTGGTAGTGCTGTGATGCAGCAACATCATTCCCCCTGTCTAGAGACATCTATTTGGGAAAACAACTAGAAGCTGCACTCCAAGGTAATCTTGGTACCCAGGTCATTGAAAAACTGGTTCATCTCTGGTACAAGACAGAAAGGAATATTGTGGATGACAATTTCTTCACAAGTACTGACCTGGCAGAAAGACCGCTATAGCAGGACTTGACATATGTGGGTCTGATTCAGAAAAACAAGGCCGATATCCCAAACAAAATGCAAACAAATCGAAGAAGAGAAACTTTTTCATCCATTTTTGCTTTTGATGGGAAACTCATCCTAGTTTCCTATGTTCCAAAGAAGTCCAGAATTGTTCTGTTGCTGTCAAGCATGCACTATGACCTGTCAGTGGGTGGAGATCAAAGAAAGCCAGACATCATCCTGACTACAATAAAAATAAGGGTGGCATGGATAACTTTGACCATTTAGTCCGTATGACCACATACAGATGGAAAATCAACAGGTGGCCAATGACACTATTTTTCAAGATGCTGGATGTGGCTGCTATTGGCAGCCTCATCATTTGACTAGGCCACAATGCAAGCTGGAAGCAAAGATCATATTTAAGAAGATGGCACTTTTTTTTTGCAGGAGCTTGGAAAAAGGCTGAGTGACAGACAAATAAAATGAAGAACGAGGGCCACACACAATCTGTCTAAGTCCGTCAAGTCTGGTATGACTGCCATAAATTACAAATTGCCACAACACATCCAAGTAGAGCCTTCTGCAAGCATGAGTGGAGATTGTGCTTTTTGTCCAAGGACAGATGACTGCAAAACCCAGAAACAATACAAAGATTGTAAGCTATTTGCTTGTGTTCACCACAGTACATCACTGCTGCTTTGTGAGGAATGCAATATTTAGTTAAAACAGTTAAGAGATGTTTTTGGAAGTAATTGGTAGTTTGAAAACAGTGTGAACTGCAGACTTAGCAAATTGTTCATTCATGTTTGAAACTCTAAATAAATTATATTTTGTTCATAGTTCTAGTTAAATAATATTTTGGGTTCAAATCATCATAAATACTCTTCCAAACAATCTGTATGTTTAATAAATAGTTGTTGGTACATTTATACTGTTGCTACTGGTTCCATTTAGTTCTTGCGGGTCGGGTAACAAGTTACCCCATGAGACCAACAATGTCGAATTCCATGGTAACAAGTTACCCCATGAGAGCAACAATGGCTATGGTTTCGTGAGAACAGATGAGGGTTAAGAAGGAATTAGTCTTCAAATATCTAATGGTTTGCTGTAAGTCAGGGGGAGAACAACTGTTTTCCCTTGCCACAAAAGTCAGGACATGAAACCAGGGATTTAAATTGCAGAATAGATTTGGTTTAGCTATTGGGGGGGCGGGGAAGGAAAGAAAAAAAACAACAACTTCCTTCTGTTAAATTACTAAAACAGCAGAGAAGAAAACTGTCAGGGAAATGATGGGATTTCTTTTATTGGAAATTTTCAGGAAGAAGCTGGATCTGCACTGCAACAGTGTTTTTTCTCCTGCAGCAGATATTTGTAATTGATTTGCCTTCATTTTTAATATACTTTTCCTGAATTGTCATGTTGGATCCTCAGAGAGTTACTTTCACTTGATTGTGCTGGGATGTGTGGAAATCATGCCTCTAATATGCTTGTTATGATACCTACAGAGTTCTGAATTATAAATACAAAATTGGTGATAGCAAGGTGGCTGCTTTTCTTCTGGTGGCTGAGACATGCTGCTATTCACTAGACAGAAAAATGTTCAAAAAAGGCAAAGGATTAATTCTACTGTTGTTACCCCAGCTTTTGAAAATGTGATATTTGGAACACATATGTTGCAGGCAGCATACTAAGGGCTACTTACAGAGACTAATGGCTGCTTCAGTTGCTTAATAGATGTCTTACCAGTTTGGTCATCAGGATCATTTGGCAGAAGTGGAAACTACAAAATCCTCCTGGTTCCCTCTTTGGGCCCCACTCATAGGAACATGAGGGCTGTGAAGAAAGTACAATGGCTAAGACTGGGTGAGTGCTAGGTTTTATCCCAGCCTTATTTTTTTATGAAAGCAGAAGCCCTATTTGTATGTTGTGAGTTGCAAGGAATTCCCATTCCAGAGCTCAAGTGGGAGTGTTTACAATGCCCAAGTCTGACTGACCGTTGGGATCTAGTCCCTCAGAAATACTGACACACAGTTAAGATTCTCTGTAGACCTGAAAAACCCTAACTAGGCCTTCTTTCCCCAATGGACCAAAATCACAGAACAACTTAAAAGTCCTTTAATTTCCACTGCTCTGGGGTAAAATTTCTAATTGTTAAGCATTCAGTGAGCCCGTG